TTCTTATCTCAGTGTAGGCTACAAAATGCACTAGCAATATGCAAATGGAAAATCCTTGTGGTAGGTACAAATACTTTTCAGACTAAAACTTGAACCACTAACATTCAAATCAGAAAGGACCCTATTTCAGTCTGAGTTAGCTTTAGGGAATTGTACTGGCTTTCCCAGACAAAATTTTCCCCCCTAATCCTGGAAGCAGATAATGCAAGCTGCCACACAGAATCTATGCAGCTCATCGAATAATTTTTAGCTTATTTTGCATCTAGACTAACTTCTACTGGATTTAATGAGTGTTGATTCAATGTTATGGACTATTATTTCTTCAGTTGCCCTGAACCATATAAAAATCTCAGTTCTCTGCTTCCACATGGTAAAAAATAGGTACTGCAGAATCATAGAATGGCTTGGGTTAGAAGGGACCTTAAATCCCACCTAGTTCCAACCCCCTGCCATGGGCAGGGCTGCCACCCACCAGATCAGGCTGCCCAGGGCCCCATCCAACCCAGCCTTGAGTACCTCCCGGGATGGGGCACCACAGCTTCTCTGGGCAGCTGTGTCAGGGCCTCATGTCTCTCTGAGTAAAGAATTTCCACCTAACATCTAACATAAATTTCCCTTCTTTTGGTCATCACTATTAGGCTATGTCAAATGTTGATCCTCATCTTGCTTATAAGCTCCCTTCAAATACTGGAAGCCACTATGATGTCTCCCTGCAGCTTTCTCTTCTTCAAAGCTAAACAAGTCTAACTCTCTCAACCTTTCTTCATTACAGCAGTATATCTTCATTCTACACCTGCTAGTTATTTTTTTGTTTTTTTTTGTTTTGTTTTTTTGTTAAGATCATGTACTTTGTTGTGGTTTCATAGAAAAATACAAGCGAAATACAACTTGATAGTTACGATTTAAGTAACAAAGACTTTGTGGGTTTAGGTATAGTAACCAGGACTATCTGTTAAAGTAGAGAAGTAGAGGTTTGTGGGAAACAGCTTAGTATATACAGTGAAGCTGAGCATTCCAGTTCTCAGAATTATTTAGTCTAACTTGGAAAATCCAAGCATTATTTTCCTATTTGGAGCTTAACTATTACTAAAATGCACATAATAAGAGGACTGGACTGTTAGAGGCTGTTGGCTGCCAGTTTCTTCAATCTCCCAACACTCAGCAAAAGAATTTTTTTTTTACAGTAGTAAAATTGAGTAATATTCTAAAACACGAGCACTTTTGCAGATTTCAGTTGTAAAATAGAGAACAGGTAGAGCTGAGAAGAAAGATTCAAACCGTTCTTCCCCATATAGCTTTGTAATAAAGCACATAAAGTCTCTTTGTGTTCTCTTCTTAGCATAAAAGACCTCTAGAAGATAAGTCATAGATGTTCAGTTACAAAGTTTGGAAGATTAAGCCGGAGACAGCAATATGGTGTGGAAGGTAAATACTGAGCAGCCATATGGCACACTGATCTTTAAGTGAAAAAAAAAAAAGAAGGAAAAAAAAAAACAACCTTAAAAATTGACTTTTTGTACAGTATCAGTTTCCCTTTGTAATGTGGCTGGAATTCCTATGCTACATGAGATTCAATAAAAGATGAACTACCACACAGAACACTGAATGAACGCTGCTCTGTTTAGTAAAGCAGCGCTGACATTTGAGAAACTGAAAACTTTTCCTTCTCAGTTTCCAAAGCTATATTATTAATTGCAAACCAGGTAGAACAATGCAGCTAAATGAGATGTTGCTTGAAAACTGAAGAATCCACAAAGTCCTTGTTGTTTTCTTTCTCTTTCTCCCTCTCTCTCTTTTTTCCTCATTATCTCATTCAGAGATAAAGCATTGTTATGTTCTACACTTGATCAGGACCCTATGCTGTACTGTTACACTATACACAGTGAGACCTACTTTGCAAAAAACAGAGAAATTGAGTATCATTTGTAGCCAAGTAATTAAGGATAATGTGCAGATGCTTTTGGTTCTGTCTGTATCTGCCTGAAATAAGGTTTCAGAGCTGTACTTTTTGACTGTTTTAGTATTGAAACTTTCATGTTAGTCACTTTGCTGAACAGCGCAGGCAGACTTTCAGATACTGTGGTGATAAGCATGATATACTGAACCATCTTATTCACAACCATGCTTGCTTCGTGTCTTTGCCCAGGTGCTGGTCAAAGCAACAAAGCATTTCATGCCAACAGCAGCAAGAAAGGTCTGATTCTTAAGTTCCATTCAAAGTTAATCGGACAAAGGTGTGGCAGTTTAGACAGATAAATTCTTAAAAGAAGTTGTACCCTTCTTGTTACTTTTGCTGGGTTTAAGCTGTACCATTAACAGCTTTTTTTTGGAGTCAAATAGGTGTATACCATTTCCTCACTAGCTGTGAGTGAAGTTTATTCACAATAAAAGTCAGTTTCATTAAAAGACAATAATAAAATTAACTTTAACCTAAATATGAAAAAATCAGGAAGTTCTGATGTTGATGTCCTTTTCTGAAACATTTCATATCCTATGAATTTAACATCCACTGTCCATTTTCCTTCTGATAGGAATTACATCCTCTATTGTGAGCCATCCATCCCTTTCTTCTTGGGGCTGGCAGGGCTGGTTGACCAGATAAATAGGACTATCCTCAGGTAGGATCCCAGCTAGAGTGAAAGTCCTGTATAAAGTTTGTTTCCTTCCTAAGAACTTGCTATAGAACAATGTAAGTTATAGAAATAACAGAATAATGGATGAAACAGGTTCGGGTTTTCCTTTGAATAGAAAGGAGAGATATTTGCACAGCACTAAATTCAGTTAAAAAGCTGAGTCATCAGATTGAGGATAAATTTCTGGTGAGGCAGATTAATTATTTTTCAATCAATGCTCTGTTCTTTGTTGGAGCTAGGTTCATTACAGATGGTGTGCTTGATTGTGGAGTCATTACCAAGAAAATGTCCTCCCACTGATACCAGTGAAACTACTGAATGATTCATGGGCTGAGAACTGATTGAAATATTGGGGAGGAGTTTATTCACACCCTCCAGGAGGGTCTGATTCTGGTTTATAAGAGCAGCAAGACTTTTCTGATTAACTTGGAGAGAAGCAAGATGGAACCCAAAGTTGCCAGTGTGATTAGTATTCATATCACAGTGATGCTCGAGCACATTTCATTAAAATGTTATTGTAGCTATAGAATTGCTATTCCTCACTTCATCCATGCACGAGTCCAGGCCTCTCAAAAAATCAGTAGCTGAAGAAAGAAGCAGCAGCTCCTTTGCTGCTATATACACTGCTGCAGCTCTGCTGAAGTGCATCAGAGCTTCAGCATCTCACACCAGTTGAAGCTCAGGACCTTCCATACGAAGCCTTCTGGCAAACTGGAAGGCAAGGCAGAGCCCACATGCTACAAAGAAGCTCCAGAATCTTCAATATCTTTTGTACCTGGGGCTGTATGTGTTTAGGGGAAAGGGAGAACAAAGGAAAAAATGGAAACTAAATCATGCTGATTGTGCTAAAGGAAGAAATAGCTGAGAAAAATTGAGTCATATAGAAATATCAAATGGAGTAGCTGGGGTAGGGGGAAGCCCATCACGTTTGGTGCCTCAGTAAGTTTTATGAATAATCAAAAATGTGAAAAAGGATGCATAAAGCAACACAGGACAAACTCCACTCACGGCCATTTAGTGCATTTCCTATCAAAATTTGAACACATTTAAAAACAGAACTGCAACTATCGACTTCAGAGCATACAGTTGTTTGTAAATCTTGTTTTATGTCTACTGGAAATTACCAAAGAGCTTTTTGCATAAAAGAAACTTGAAAGGTCAGCATGAAAACACTCTGAAACCTGTTAGCTGAAGGGGAGGTGCAAGTTTCACATTGCTCCAAACTTCACTCACTGAGCTGTGGGACTGTGAGCTGCTTTCATGTAGAGATCAGTGTCACTTTTACAGAGTGACCCAGAGAATTTCATTGCTGTACAATTTTGTTAGGACTCTGTAGTAATAGCATCTTTTGGGTGTGCCCAGGATTATTGTGAGCCTGGCTTTCTTAGCTGTCTTTCATATTTGCAAGCAGCTATGCTGCTTAGGAATTAGCCACAAATATATTTGTGAGTGTGTACTTGTGTGTGTTTGTGTGTTTGCCAGTATACTTGGCACAGACAGAATGCATCTGGCTCAAAGAAACTCCAGGATATCGACCCTGACAGCATTCCAGTATTAGTAATGACATTCAACTGAGGCAGACATATCTATGGAACAATCATGCATTTGTCTGTCTTTTGAATCAGATATGCTAACTTGAATTGGAAAGGGCAAGGCTCTTTCAGTTGGGTGCAGGAGATCTAGAAGGCTAAGTTTTTTTCCATCTTGCTCTTTGGAAACTAAATATGCGAGAGTGGAGCATAGCCTGAGGGAGTCTTTGCTCATTCCTAAGCCTCTGACCTCGAAATAGAGTGCTGGGAGTCAGTTAAGTCTCCCTGACAACACGGGGGGAAAATGAAATTGGTATTTCAAATTATGTCCATTTTAGACTATAATTTCACTCTCAAGTAGGAAATAAATTTAATCTATATCAGTAATCATGAAATTATTTCTTGTCCACTACAAAAAACATACATACCTGAAAAACAAATCCTGCTTGGGCTTGGGTGCATGGCAGAAGTTATTGGGTGTGCCAGTGCAGGAAACAGCACTTATCCTGCAGCATTCTAGGGTCCTCACTAAGCCAGGAAATGCCATCACGACCCGCAGCAGATAAGATAAAGAGCTCTAAAGACGGCTGCAGAGTCTTTATGGGAAATCAGTTGTTCAAATTACTGTTTATGTTCTGCATGCTTAGAGAAGCTAGTATAATTTTCCCCACTAAGTTCTTACATGCTCGTGACACTGCTGGCATTTTCTCAACCTCTCTCTAGCCCTCACATCTTTGTGTTAAGGAAAAGAAAAAAGAAAAAGGAAATTTAAAAAAAAAAAAAAACAACCAAAAAAAACCCACGTTGTAAATGCAAGCTCTCTCTTTCCCTCCTCCAGTGCTGTTTCACTACCTGGTAAAATGAAGAGTTAAAGTAAAAGGAAATGGTGTGTGACATCAGACCTGAGGCCAAGTCCTTAATTTGTTTTCTTGCTAATACTGAACTCAAGGAAATCAACTGGATCCTTGCCTGAGTAAGTACTGGGCAGAAATTAAGGAAGGGTTTGAAGACTGGGCCTTTGATGATTAGGTCAATGCCTTCCATGTAAGCCTGAGTTCTTAAAAGAGCACAGAGAAAAAAAAAGGAAACTGAACTCCTTAATGCTTCCTGTTTCCAACTCTGGCAGGAGAACCTTGGTATTTCTATGAGAAGCACTGCTGTTCTCATCAGAAGAATTCTACAACACTACTGATATAGCCCCACCAAAATGAGAATATGACTGGATGTGGGCAGTTGCAGCCAGGAGACAAAGAAACTTAAAATGCAACCAACTACACTTTTCACTGACATACCTCTCTTCAAAATCACCGTAAGGCTGCATGGATACTCCTCTACAGTACTGAGAACAAATACAGTTCCAAGTCTACACAGTAAATGTGGAACCAGATCATCTTTCAGGTCCATTCCAATCCAAGTCATTCTATGATACTAAATGCCCAAAGATGCAAAGCAAATGCCTCTGCCATGTATTTCAGTCACTTTTTTTTTGCCTGAATCATAAAGATAAGGCTGAGTTCATCATACCTTCACTGAAACTAATGCGTATACCACGCAAGCTATACAAATATGATAAAATAAAAGAACACTTTTACCTTCACAGCAGACTGTTTCTACTAATATGCAATACCATACCAAAGATGTCTTGCAAAGAAGCCATCAAAATTATTTAAAGGAAACAATATTGATAAATAACCAGTAAGTGACCGTTCAGTCTCCGTAGGACTAATCATAGACCCATAGAATGGCCTGGGTTGAAAAGGACCTCTAAGGTCACCTAGTTTCAACTGCCCTGTTGTGGTCAGGGTCACGAACCACCAGACCAGGCTGCCCAGAGTCACATCCAGCCTGGTCTTGAATGACTTCAGGGATGGGGCATAAAATCTCCCGTCTTAGTTTAAAACCATTCCCCCTTGTCCTATCACTATCCACTCTTGTAAACAGTTGTTTCCCCTCCTGTTTATATACTCCAAGTACTGGAAGGCCACAGATGAAAATATTTTTCTTCGAACCAAATATTATAGCCAAATTTTGTATTTATTCACCAACTAGAGAGTCTTATTGACTCCAATCCAATTTTACCAGTCTCAGTCAACCCAGTCTGTCCACTATCCTTTCCTTGATTCCTAATTCCTTTCCTTTCAACCATTTTCTTCCCACCTCATCAAGCATGCTTTGAGCTAATTCAATGTCAGAAGTACAAATGCAGCACTGCAGGACCGACCAGGTTTATGTATTCATAGACACAGGAGCCAGAGAGAGTCAATAATCCTGGAATCAACTGATCAGACTGTGCATAAAACCAAATTTAATTCCATTGTTTTGTTGCCTGCAGCAGCAGTTGGGAAAGGAAAGCTATTTGTAATCCCCTTCTGTGTTGCTATCACTGTAAATATATGTTTTCACTGGATTACCCGAGGGTGCAAATTTCATATTTTAAAACTTCCATATTGCTGTATAAACTATGAGTTTAAATTAAGCTGTAAGAGGTAATGGATATATAACTAAGAGTGCTCACTGTGTAAGTTCTGCTTCAAAGGACTTGATTAAAGACTCAGATTATAGCATCAGTGAGCAGATGTATATTTAAACTGTCAGGTTGATCTGAAGCAAATGAGATCTTTCTAAACAAGAAAGGAACTTAAATGGATTAAATCAGTTATCCTCGCTTTGTACAAATATGCTAACAGTTCTGTTTCATCCTGCTTTCTCCCATGCACATCACTTGTTAGCGTGATTTATTTATTATATTAAATCTAGGGACATTATTCAGTTGCTTAGGACTAAATTCATGAGAACAGAGGGTGCTGAGGCAGGTACTCAATGTTTTGGCTGGCTTCAGGTCTAATTAGGCAATTGGAGCGCATTGCAGGCTTTGTCAGGAACTAGTATGTGACTCCACTGATGTGAAGGAGAACCTCACACCCACACCTCCCGGTGCTGAGAGACTTTGCATGCAGAGCATGTCTGCCACTGAGCTTTTCTCACCTTGAGGAAGATTGGAGCCAAGTGCTCTGGGGTACCTTTACATGCCATTGTCTGATGCAGGTGAGCAAGCTGTAAGCCAAATGGGTCCAATCTGGGAGCAATGCCAGCAGGAAGAGAAGGCAGAGGAGAACCTCTGCCTGATAACTGTAACTAAAGATGTTGTTCCTACAGGGCTTGTAAAGGATGGTTGGCATTACCGCAGGGAACTGCTAACAGAAGGTGAGATTTCATCGGGTTTTCAACAACAACAAAAAAACGCTATTTCACTATGCAGCTCTTTGTGTTTGAACAAGACTCTGCAGATATTTCTGCTTTCCCCTGCATCCCTCATGAGCATTTAGCAATATCTTTTCTTTTGCTCACATAAACATTTCCCAACAATTCCTCCCTGCGCTGCTCTCAGGAGATGGCTTTGTGAATCATTTCCTCAGTAACAATTTGCTTCTACCACACTGTAGCATATTCCAAAGCAGAAAAAGGACACGTGTCTAGAACGGATGACTTTCCTTGGTGGCTGGCTGATCAGTCATGAAGTCAAGGCCACATAAGAAAGGCACAAAGATTCTGGGAAAAGCAAAACTTGCCCATTAGGCCTCTTGCCGCTAACGGGTTTCCAGCAATGAGACAACAGTGTTTATATGTTTAGCCTTGTTGTACCCAGTCACATCAGCTACTGTGATAGGGTTATTTAGCTTTCAAATTTGGGCCATGCTGTGGCTTGATGCAGAAATCAGTGTTAGTGTCAGGAAAACAATATATGAACATGTGTGTGTCTCCATGCAAAGTAAGGCTCTGTTCTTTATAGCACGAGGCTCATGATTCGTCTGAAAACCATGTATGCTATAAGTAGTGTACTTTCCTTAGCACAAGTATGTTCAGTTTTATATATATATTCCACACTAGATTGGAATAAGAAAAAAGCATCTGTTGCAAACACTTCAGGTTTAAAATTCAAAATTCAAAAATCAATTTCTGAGACTACTGCCCCTTGCCTGTATGCAATTTGATGGCAGATACGTTTGCTGTTTTTGCCTGTGTATTCATTGCTAACATGAAAAGAGCAGGTCAAAGGCATGCTAAAGAAGAGAGCACAAAGGTATTTCTTAAAAGAAATCTGCTTTTAGGTAAGGGAAAGAGAAGTGTCCCTTGCTCAAAGCAGGAGCACAAATGCAGACCTAAGTAAAAATGTACATTCTGATACAATATTCACTACGTTTATTGTGTACAAGGGAACATAATTCTACGATTCTCTCATGGAGACACCTCTGTAACTTCAAGGGTAGAGAGCAAAAGCTATCTGAAAGAGAATCTTCTATCTCCTGCTACACAGCAAAGTAGCCCTACTTAATTACAGAATTTCTGGTGTGAAAATCACCATATCCTAAGTGGAGTCTGAAAGCCTCAGGCAAGGAAAGCAAACTACAGTCAAGACACAATAAAGCAGTGTGCTAAAAACCCCTTTAAAATGGTCTGTTACTGTATCTCATTCTTTTCTGAAGCTGCTGGATTAACTGTTGTAGTGCTCTGCAGAGTCTCCTGTCAATTATGGCAGCCCTTTCCAACCACACAGCATATCAACTGGAATTCAAAGCAAATCCAGGTGCAAAGCCTAAGGAAGGCTGAAGTAGAGCAGGCGCAAGGGACAGGCACAGCCTATCTGCTCCCACTTGATACTTCACAGATAACAAAAAATGACCCATGTGGGTCTCAGTAGCTGATCTGAAAAATTTTGTAATCCTTTTGTGCTACTAGGGGCTCTTAAGGAGGCAAGCAGAAGTCTAAGTACTCAGTAAAATGCTGCACTAAGATCTTGAGAGTTTAATAATGTAGTCAGAAGTTGTAGATTTTATTTCACGACAGAAGTAGATGTCTACCTTGACCTCAGTAAGGCTTTTAACACTGTCTCCCATGATGTAGGTAAGCTTAGGAAGTGTGAAATAGATGAGTAGACAGTGAGGTGGATTGAGAATTGTCTCACTGGCACAGTTCAGAAGGTTGTGATCAGCAGCACAGAGTCTGGTTGGCAGCCTGTTACTAGTGGTGTTCCCAAAGGGTCAGTACTCATCCAGTCTTATTCAACATCTTCATCAGTGACCTGGATGACCTGGCTAGAGTCCACCTTCAGCAAGTTTGCTGATGATATGAAGCTGATGACCCACCAGAAGCGTGGCCAGCAGGTTGGTTTTTCTCCTTCTACTGTGCCCTGGTGAGGCCACATCTGAAGTCTTGTGTCCAGTTCTGGGCTCCTCAGTTCAAAAAAAGGCAAGGAACTTCTAGAGAGTCCAGTGGAGAGCTACAGAGATGCTGAGGGGCCTGGAGCATCTACCTTATAAGGAAAGGCTGAGAGATCACAACTGTTCAGCTGAGTGGAGGCAGAGGGAATATTTTACCAATGCTTATAAATACCTAGACTATAAGTTTCTGAAGTGGTTATCTAAAGTGGATGGGGCCAGGCTTTTTTCAGTGGTGCCCAATAACAGGGCAAGGGGTGAACGGCACAGACTGAAACACAGAAAGTTCCACAAGAACACAAGGAAAGACTTCTTTGCTGTGAGAGTGACAGAGCACAGAAACAGGTTGGCCAGAGAGGTTATGCAGATGTTCAAAATACACCTGGATGCTTTTCTGTGTGACCTGCTACAGGGAATCTACTTTTGCAGGGGGATTGTACTGGATGATCTCCAAAGGTCCCCTCCAATCCCCATGACTGTACTAAACTCACTCAAGAGCACAGCTCCTAACAATCTTAAGTTCCTGTAAAAACAAACAAGCAGACAAACAAACATACAGAAGCTGTTTGTACAGGAAAAGCAATTTTGTTTCTGAAAACACTCTCTCATTTTTTTTTCACCCTTCCCTTTTCCTTTGAATATTATTCACATTTTAAAAGTTCTAAATCAGCCCCTTCATTTTGTGGAAACAAAGTTCTGTTCTGCAGAGAAAATGGAATGTAGATTCAATAAAAATCAGAAACTTGATGAAGAGTAA